ACATTAAGCTTTTTAGCTCCATAACTTCTATTGAAGGAAGTTATAAAAAAATAATATTAGTAGTAGTAGTAGTAGTAGTTGTTTACCAGATAAAACCAGCTGTGTATGAACTTGAGAAAATCCCCTTCCGATACAAACCAAAATGCCTTCTTTACTCCCTATATCAAAATTACATGAGTTCAGACAAGCACCAACAATCCTTCCACAACTAAATCATTGTTCTTAAGAGATAAGGACATGGATGAAACAGACCACTGCAACTGGAAAAAAGCCTGACACCGCAAAAGAAATGGCAAGGCATTTATAGAAAATAAAATTCAAGGCAAAGCCAAAATATGGTTGTCAACATAGATCATTTCCCAGTGACAAGGTTCAGTGCTATTGACATTGTACACCATTGAAGTCAATGTCATCCCCCAAATATTTACAATGCATGAAGGATAGTTATTGTCGGCCAGAAAAAAGTCACTTTTAGGAGAGGGGTGCAATTATGCCTTTTTGCAAGGGATTCACTGCCTACATGCTGGTGCCTTGCAAATGCATCAAGGATTTGGTGCTGGCCCAGTGCGGAGTGGTGCCAAGCAGGTCCATGGCTGAAACGCAAGGGTGCAGCAGATGATGCCAGCCCCTGTTCCCTGCGCTCCTGGGTGCCCTGCACTGCTCCCAGGTGACATGGGAGGGCACTTCCCAACATAACCTGCCTGCTGGTGCATGGCTGCCTGACGGAGGTCTACATCTCCCCTGGAAAAGGGCGAATGGCATCCACACCTTGGCACAGGCTGCACGGGGCTGTCTGCATGGGGACACCATGCTCCCATGGGGACGCTTGGGGACGCAAACCTCTACCCCGGGCAGAGCTGCACTCCTGCGGGCACAGGCCCCTACCAGCCCTCCTGCACCTCAGGCTGAGTTAGCAGCTTCTTCAAAGCCAGAGCTGCTGCTTCAGGAGGTCTCATCAGATGCAGGCATTAGTCTGGCTGACTTCTAAGACCTACTGGAAATGTCACGACACAATACCGATTTTTAAGCTGCCATTCTTGTCAGGTGTGCTGTGATGCTACCTTGCCAGCTTCAATGCAAGCGAGACTTGCTACCATGTGTTTTCAAGCATGCTGCCACCTTTAGAGATGCTGATGTCATGAGACTGAAATAATGGAAAGGTGAGAAGAAAGCAGGCTTATGTGAAGGAAGATTTGGGACTTGATGTCTGACACACCTGGAAATGAGCTTTCTCTTCCCAAAAGTGGTAGAGGCCTGTTACACTCCAAGTTTTCCTCAGAGAACATAACCAGTGTCCTCAGGACCAATTCAGCTGACCCACCCCTCAGCTGGAAACAGGTTGGTGATGGAAGTGCACAGAAATCTGAGTCCTCAGAAAAGTTGCATAGCTGAGATGTTTCCACCAAGCTGGCATGGCCCTAGAAGCAAAGGACAGGCTGTCCCTGCCCCCTTCCAGCCAGCTGGCCATCTCTGGTGGGAACTCTTTGCGCTGGATTGTGGTACTAGTTCATGTCAAAGGGACATACCTCTTCCTCAGTTAGACAGACACAAAGGCTCCCATCGGCACCCCAGGAACAAGCTCTGCTCTGCAGTGTCTGCGCACCGCCACTGCTGTGTAGAGTGGGAAAAATATTCCCATAGCGTGTGGATGACTGCTCAAAGCAGCCACGGAGATACATTTCATTGTAATACATAAATTAAGGAAAGAGTTTAGAGTTCATAAATAGTCTAATTAACCTAAATCCTTTATTTTGCTTTAGCTGTAAGAAGCTCTGGATTCTTAGCTAGTTTTTCTTGCCAAACAAAATCTTTCTTGCTGCTTCATTACTGACCCAGCAAAGTTAAGTGGTGTCATTTTTATTGAAAAAACATGGTCAAGTGTGTCACAAACTGAGAAGCAGTAATGTAATTTGCTACTGCTCTGCTTCAAGCGCTAAGAGAGAACACAAACAAGTTTAGCTAAAAAATGAAGACCGCCAAAAGCTATGTTTCTGTTCTGTATTGGCTGGGTTTTGGAGATGAAAGAGGAAGAATACTGTATTTTGAAATGAAAAAGGCTTACAAATATAAATCAAAATCTTCCCACTGTGCAGCATTTAGTTAGTACTTTCCTGAATCTGTTGTTGTGCTGGCTCTATCACGGGGCTGATCTTTTCATTTTGTTTATATTTTCCTAATGCAAATTGTGACTTCTACCCTGGGAACATGACAAAGTCTTTCTTCACAAATGCAAAGAAGACAGGAAACTCATGGTTCTCACAAAGCAGCTTTGACTCTTACTAGATGTGATAATTTCGTTAGCAGGATCCCAGACATCATAGCATGGATCAGTGAATCAGACTAATAAGCCACAAGAGTTCCTGTCCACCCATGGAAAGTGGCTCATCTGAGCAGGGTCCAGTCTGCTCTTTGTCATCCCAGGCCAAGCTGCGCAGCTTTTCCTTGCTTAGTGTGAGTTTCACAGAAGCAGATACGGGATCTCAGACTCCACTTTTGTTCCACCACTGTCAACTCCAAAACAGGACTCCTGATCAGTTGTCTCCAGCCAATCCCAGGAGACGCATCAGCTTGTGCAACTCACTGCTCAGCTCCTCTAATCCCTGCTGTGCCTGCAGAGCCATGCAGACACCCCTGCGCTGGCCCATGGCCAGCTGGGATGCCAGCAGCAAGCTTGTCGGCAGCAGCAACCTCCGCAGAGCAAACCACCGGAGTATTTACCCAGCTTCTTGGGTGGGTTCTGCATCCAGCAGAGCTTTGTGCTCTCCCAGCCAAGCTTCTACTACACCCTGAGCTGCCTGGTTTCAAGCACATCGAGGTTTATCTGCTCCATATAGCAATGGTGGTACCCACCACAGTTTGACAAAACCTTCACCCTTTCCAAAGAGCACATTTCCTTGTGATGCTACCGCAGTCCATTTGCTGGTGTCCCTAAGTGCTGGATCCCTCTTTTAAATAAGGCCTTCAGAACCTAGAGTTGTATAATTACAAGCCCTCACCATATTAACTTCCAGCTCTGAATCTCTTATTACTTCTACATCAAAGGATGCTACAAAACAGCAAGTCGAAGCTGTGCTGTGGCTGACCACCTGGTACCAGAAGAAAGCATGTTCAGATAAGATATGTTCTGCTGCAATGAAGGCATTGCTGGGATTTACAGTTAGCATGTGACGGGCTGAGCCGAGCCCTTTTATACCAAGGAAAGAAAAACAGATCCAAGGCAAAGAAGTCAGGTCTGGATATTACTGTGATGTGGGGCTTGCCCAAAGACTCAGCTTTTCTTCTGCACATGACGGTGTGTTTTCATAAAACCTTCTCCCTGGCCACCTACTCCCTGCTGAGAGAGAAGCCCGTACATTCACAGCTGACTGCTCTACTGAGTGGGTCAAAAAAAATCAGGAGGCTTGAAATTTTCTTTAGGAACAAATTGCCCTCAGTCTTCGCACATTGGGCCAAAATATATGTAAAATTTCAATTACAAGTCAATGGGCTCATCATTTGTCTGTACCAAGGTTTTTCAGTCAGAGGAGCTCAGCTCTTGGTGCTTGCCTTTGCTTTGTGCCTTAGTTTCACTACAGCTGGGCATGTGTAAATTGCTCCAGCAACATGTGAAATCATGGACCTTTTTTTTAAAAGCATTATCATTAGACACAGGAAATAGAAAGGTTGGTGGAATGGGACCTAATTAATTATGTCTATTATAGATGGAAGATGTAAAATGAAAATGTGAATTACTGAAATGAACAATAAAGTGAACCTTTGTTCAGGGTTAGAAATAGGCAGTTGGGACCTAATTATACAATGCAATTTCTGAGTAAGCGGATCCTGCAGGAATAAATGCTGTGCAAAAATAAATCTGCTGCATAGAACTAATATATGAGTTAGAACACAAAGGATTTGGACTCCTAACAAAAAGGTATTTAGAGACTAATACCAATGTTGGCTGTCATTCAAAGCCTACCCATTGAAAAGAAAATAATAATAGATTAATAACATGAAACGTTATTGAACAGATGATGCCAGTAGGACTGGGAACAAGGAAATGTCACAGGTCTCCTCTCCGGCAGGAGGGCTCTAATGCCCATTACGGGCTGCCAGAGGGCAGATTCCCCATGAGACTTGGGACCTGCAGCCCCCTCCTTACCCCGTCTGTGCTGGGAGCTGAGGTGAGAGGGTGCCAGGCTGTGTGATGGAGGGGCAGCTTGTACCTCCTGTACAGCGACACCACCTGGCCTCAGGAAGCTGAGCCTGGAGGTGTCCAGACCGGGCTGTGCTCCCCAGCACTCAGCCTGGGTCCAGTACAAGGCACAGCAGCTCCTGCCCAGCTGGGGCTTCCTCCTTCTGCCCCTGGAAACCAAAGCCTGAAACATGGGAGAGACCAGCAGAGACTGGCAGTTTGAGGAGCACTGGGCCTCCAGCATGCTTTCTGCATGGGGCAAACACGTGCAGGACACCCCGGTTGCCTTTTATGAGTTTAAATCTAGTCTTGTATTTCCATGCCTGCAGAAGAAGAAAGAAAGAGGGATATCTTTTGTCAGTTCATTCCCAGGCTCTTAAGTCATGGGGTTAGGGCTGTGGTACTAGGCAGCCGACATTTCTGCCGCAGCAAAGATGAAAGTCAGACAAAATAATCCAAAGAAGTGCTTAACTGTGACTATTAAGTCCCTAAGGATTTATCAGAGTTTACTTTCCTCTGACTTCTAGGAGGGACTTCGGCTGAAGTCCATTAAGCAAATTAAAAAGCAGAAGGAAAATAAACACAGATTAATGGAGATAGGAATTTTATGAAGGAAAGGAAACAGCCAGACCTTGTGACAAAGCTCCTGGGCTGCTATTCAGGTTTTAAGGCCCCCAGACCTTATAAATGGAGGAGATTATTCTCTTCACATTGCCCTGCTGGTAGTCGTAAAAGAGAGTTAATAGAATTTTTTTTCCCCTACTGAGAAGTCCTGTAGAAACTCAAGTAATAATATAATCCATAATGTTTCAGTTCAGTGCGTGACATGCAGCTATTTGTTCCTTTGTTTCCAGGCAGGGAATCGAGCTGTAAATCTTGTAGCGAC